TTGTCAATACGGCATTACTATTCTTCTTCAGATCCATATAAGTTATCGCAGAGCCGGAATTGCAGTTGGAATTGTCATCACTATTATCATTGGCGCATTTATTTATCAGTTTCAATTGCATCGACCTTCGGTCAGACATTTTCGGTGACGTGTTGTCTTCTATTTCGTTTTCCGATTTCCAATATTGATCGGCTATATTCAACTTTTTTCTAAGAGGTTGCATGGGCCACAGCTGGCTTGATTTCTGTTTCACTCTGAAATATAGCGAATCAGCGTTTGATTCAGTCCGCTCATTTGTCATCTCCTGTCTCTTTAAATTAAAAGAGGATTGATCTTCGCGAAAGCATTGCATTATATGATCTTTGTTCCAACTTTTGGGATGCGTAGGACAACGATCTGGCGTTGAGCACCTATCGAGTTGGGCTATGTCGTATTCACGCACAGCATCAAATAATTCCTTATTATATTCTTGTGCGCGATCTCTTAGCAGTCCTATAGGTTTTGAGCTTAACGTAAAACTTGGATCACTTCGTAATTTCCGTAGAGCGTCCTCTAGTAAAGGTAATGATTGGTACATGACAGATGATTTGGGTATGGGACCACTTAAGTGTTTTCTTCGTTTAGGAGGACAGAAATCGGAGGAGGGCGTTCGATTCTGAAGTTCATTATTGGGTTGGGGGGACCGAACCGAAATATTGTTCAACTCCAATTGATATTGAGCTGGCACAGCATTTGATTTTGTTGTATAATCTCTTGGCACTCTGGCATGACATTTTGTGCAACGTAATGTCCCCGAGAGCATATACGTACGCTGGGGACAAGATGTTGCCTCAGAATGACTGCAGTGCGGAACTTGTTCGTCTCTCAAATGAGTAGAGTGCAAGCTGGAGCCGCGTTGAGGCAACCCATTGCCGCTTTTTGTGGTATTTCGTATTACCTTGGATGAAAAATAACCTTTACGTTGCTCTGATTGACCTGAGAGCGCTCTATGTAAAGGCTGACAGTTGTTTTTTGTTCGACTCGTTAGCTCGTTGGACACCAGCCCTGAAAATGAGCCGATTTTGTGTGAAGATATGTCCTCGCAATCATAGTACTGTTCTGCACATGCCGATTGACAGTTATGCGGCAGACATCTATTGGGTTCAATTTTAGTTTTCAAATTTCTTTTATTGACGTTCCCTTTAGCATTCTTGCTCAAGTTGGATTCACTACTTTTCTCAATGGACTGCGCGTACATATTGGACTCTCCTTTTACTGGTGGCTTCCTACTGGAGTTTCCATTGCGTAAATGGCAATCGGATTGATTGTCGATCGATTGTGGAATGCATTTGTATTGCACTTTATGCTGCCGCTGTTTGGTTTCCTTCTTAATAAGGCTCTTCTTTGGAACAAGCGATTGTGAGGGCCCTGTGCATGAGGAGCTCTTGCCTCTAATGTTCGAGTTAACCTCTACTGGCAGCTGGCACCGCTTGCAGCCGTTTATAATTGGTTCAAGCTGTGTATAGCTGCAAATGCGCCACATTTTGGCAACGCCCAGAAAGCAAATCAATTTTGTGCCAAATAAAAAATATCATTTATAACTAGGCCTGACGATAAATTTATTTACTGAAAGCAGGGGCAACTACTGAATACAATTTCAAAACCCCATCTTTTTTTTGTAGTACCTAAAGCTTAATGTCACATTGTGCCTTGAATACCTCTTCGGCCGACTTCTTCATCGCATTTGACTCCCATTTCGATAGATGTGGACGAATAATCCCAAAGAGGCCACATTTGTTAACAATGCACGGTAGCGATAAGAATATATCGTCCTTGATTCCACACATTCCCTTGGCATTTGTTGACAACGACAAGATCCGGTTGCTGTTCTCGAATATGGCAGATACAACATCGGCAACAGCATGTCCGATGGCCCAGTTCGTATAGCCCTTTAGGGCAATCACCTTGGCCGCCGCCTCGACAACGTCCTTATGTACTTTGCACCACTGCATCGGATCTTCGCTCGTGCCAATTTTGGGCACCAGTTGCTCCAGCCGCACACCCCCCACAGTGACTGAGGACCACATGGGCACCGAACTTTTCCCATTCTCCCCGAGGACGAATGCATTTACCGAACTAGTTGCTACGCCCAAAAGCTGCGCAATAAACAGTCGAAAGCGAGCAGTGTCCAAATGACAGCCAGTGCTAATGCATCGCTCGTAGGGTAACTTGGATATTTTATGGGCCACCCAAGCCATGACATCGGATGGATTTGAAACAATAATAAATACAGCCTTGGGGCTTTCTTTAACTAGGCTGGGCATTACACACTTGATAATATCCGCCGTTTTTTGAGCCACTTCTGAAGGTTTCTCGTTGGCTTTCGGGCGTACGCCGCTCGTCACTACTACAACTCTCGAGTCCCGTGTCGATCCAATATCGCAGCACTTTGCAACACTACAGTTATTTAGAAATAAGGAGCCGTGTACCAAGTCCGCACTCTCGGCCGTACACAAATCCTGATTGATATCGTATAGAGCTATGTCGTTGGTAATCCCCTTCGAAAGCAGTGCTACTGCACACGCCATGCCCACGGCACCAGAACCGATAATAGAGACTTTGTTTCCAGGCTGTACCTCCTGCTGTTTCAAGCGTCTGAACAAGCAAGTGCGAAAAGCATTCAAAAGCTTGTCATCGTTACAGCTCGACGAAGCAGAGCGTGTAATACATAATATTCGAGTGGCACATTGAGGCAGTTGCCTCATACTATTCATAATACTGGAAGTCAATACATTAGTACAAATTCTGGATGAACAGTGCTTCATCATCATGCAGATTGTCTAAACAAAAAAAAAATTGATAAAAATTTTGAAGTGAGTTAAAAATAACAGAAATAATTTTGTGGCGTTTGAAATGTTGTGGTTAACACACAAAAAGATTCCGGAAAGGGTGCTATAACATTTTCTTTTTATATTCTGCTGTCCAAATAAGTTAAAATATTGCTATTGCCATTGCTTTTATCGATTAAACTTATTGGAGAATTTTAAATGACCGTTCTGACAAATAAATTCTTTCTGTCTGTTTATTTTTATCAGAGTTGACAAACATTTCAAATCGTTTAAAGTTTGGGATACCATATAAGTATGGAATAATAAGAGACAACGAAATTTTATATATTGCCCAAAAGCACTTTATTTATTAACAACGTAATATATATATTATTCCATTATAGGTTGCTGTTCCACTAATAATTCATGTTTTTTATTGTAATGCCTCAGACAACATGCATTTTCAGAATTTAATACTATTCTGTAGCTTTAGCATTACTTTGGCTGACTCCTCGAATTTGTTCTTTTCCCAATCTGATAGTTGTGGATGCAATACTCCATAAATACCCCATTTGTTAACAATGCAAGGCAACGATAGGAAAACTTCTTCTTTAACCCCACACATGCCCTTCGCATTGGTTGACAATGACAAGATGCGATTACTGTTTTCGAAGATGGCCGACACAACATCGGAAACGGTAAGTCCGACCGCCCAATTTGTGTAGCCCTTACCCCCGATTACTTTATAAGCCGCATCAACTACGTTCTTGTGTACATTCGACCAAGCCATCGGATCTTTTTCAGTACCTATGGGCGGTAGCAAGTCCTTTAGTAGAGTTCCGCCCACACTAACGGAGGACCATATTGGCACGGAAGTGTCTCCGTGCTCTCCCAACACCATTCCCTGCACCGAGCTCGTTGACACTCGCAATAACTTTCCTATAAACATGCGGAAGCGCGCTGTATCCAAGTGACATCCAGTGCTGAAGCAACGCTCATAGGGTAGGTTGGTGATCTTGCGGGTAACCCAAGTCATTACATCGACTGGATTTGACACAACGATGAAGACAGCTTTTGGACTCTGCTTGAGCAATTCAGGAGCAATTTTTTTGATGATTTCTGCCGACCTGTGGACCAAATTCTGGCGTGACTCGTTCGGTTTACTACGCACTCCAGCCGTGATCACAATCACGCGTGAGTTTTTTGTGCACTCGATAGTAGTCCGATTGTCAATTTTGCAGTTGTGTAGGAAAAGCGATCCTTGTAGCAGGTCTTGGCGCTCTGCAGAACAGAACTCTTTCCTCACATCATAGAGAGCTATGTTGTTGGTGATGCCTTTGGACAGTAGGGCTATAGCACACGCAGTGCCAACGGCGCCGGCTCCGACAATTGATACTTTGTTTCCACATTGCACGTCTTGTTTTTGATAGCGTCGATACAAGCAATCGCGAAAATCATCGAAAAGTTTATCGTCTTTGCAGCTGGATGAGTCGGAATATGAGCGTGAACATCTAGCTAGTATTAAATCGCCAGTTAGAGGCTTTGTACTATTGAAAATTTCGAATTTGGGAAACCTCTTATAGACACTATAAGATAAGGATTTGATCATCATACTAGGGTAATTAAAAAAAAAAAAAAAAAAAAAAAAAAAAAAAAAAAAGAAATCACTGACTTAATTTTGTTTAAAACCTAAACATTTTTAGATACTCGTTTCGTGCTTGTTATTTTAAGAGAAGCCTGTTGATTAATTTTGAATATGAAATGAACATTAATGTTTGTTTCCAATAAAATTTTCTTTCAAAAAGTTGACAGTTATTGCAAAATGTTGCTTTGGATTTCGATACATATTTATTTCATAAATTTTGAATACATGTGGTCAAAAGCATTGAAAGTAGATGACCCAGAATTTAGTGACTAATAAAAGATGTCCATTTATCAATGACTACAATCAGCATGTGTTTTACAGAAATTTTATAGACGAAAGACAATAATAGAGAACGACTTGCTTCGCACGAACTTCTCACCAGTTTCTTGATTGATTGAACCGAAAAAATTTAATTTTGTTTGTTTTGTTCATGGAGGATTTTGAAGGAAAAGCTGTACCACCAAGAACGAATCTTGGCGTTCAGCTGTACTTTTACTTCCTTTTCGCTCTACTAAAACAGTTAAAACAGAACGCAAATTTCAATGGAATTTCTGAATCCGGCACAACGTTCTGCCCACACCAATTAAAAGTAATTTATTAAGAATATTGAAACTTTACTAAAATCTGGTGCTTAGAGCTTAATACTATTCTGTGTATTTAGTAATTTTGTTGCTGACATCTTGAACTTCTCTTTCTCCCAATCTGAAAGTTGAGGATGTAACACTCCATAAATACCCCACTGGTTAACAATGCAAGGCAACGACAGAAAAATCTCGTCTTCTACTCCACACATGCCCTTCGCATTCGTTGACAATGACAAGATGCGATTACTGTTTTCGAAGATGGCAGACACAACATCGGAAACGGTGAGACCGATCGCCCAATTCGTATAATTCTTACCAGCGATTACTTTATAAGCCGCATTAACTACGCTCTTGTGAACATTTGACCAAGCCATCGGATCTTTTTCAGTACCTATGGGCGGTAGCAAGTCCTTTAGTAGAGTTCCGCCCACACTAACGGAGGACCATATTGGCACGGAAGTGTCTCCGTGCTCGCCCAACACCATTCCCTGAACAGAGCTCGTGGAGACCCCGACTAACTGGGCTATAAACATGCGGAAACGCGCTGTATCCAAGTGACATCCAGTGCTGAAGCAGCGTTCATAGGGCAAATTGGTGATCTTGCGGGCAACCCAAGCCATCACATCTACGGGACTTGACACAACGATGAAGACAGCCTTTGGACTCTGCTTGAGCAATTCAGGAGCGATTTGCTTAATCATCTCAGCCGATCTATGGAGCTGATCCTCGCATGATTCGTCTGGCTTACTGCTCGGTCGAGCCGCAATTACTACAACGCGAGAGTTTTTGGTGCTCTCAATGGTGCTGCTGTTGTCAATGTTGCAGTTCTGAAGAAAGAGCGATGCGTGTCGGAGGTCGTCGCGCTGAGCAGTACTTAAGTCGTTCTTTACATCATAGATGGCTATATTATTCGTGACGCGTTTTGTTAGCAGGGCAAAGGCACAGCCCATGCCCACGGGTCCAGCGCCAACAATGGATACCTTGTTGCCGGCCTGAAAGTCCTGCTTGGAATTTGTTTTGTAAAGAGTGGATCGAAACAAAAGAGCTTTTGCTGTGCGCGCCTCATTTTCTTTTTGTTCCTTTTCTTCTTGCTCTCGCATTTTTTTTATTGCGCACTTCTGTCGAATAGCGTCTTCTTGCTTTTTACCGGTAGCATCACGAATTTTTCTGATTGCGCATTTTTTCTTAATAACATCTTGTTCTGCTAATTTCTTAAGAAAGTCGCACTTTGCCTTAGATGTTCCTTCCTTCTTTTCTTTCTCCTTGGCCTCTTTCTGTTTTTTCTCCTCCTCGCACTTTTTTCTTTGCGCTTCTTCTTTCTCTCTCTTTGCAAGTGCCTCTTGCATTTTTTTGATTGCGCACTTTGCTCTAATAGCGTCTTCTTCTTGCTTTTTCTTAAGAGCTTCGCATCTTTCTTCTTCCTTTCGTTTTTTCTCCTCTGCCTCTTTACGTTTCTTCTCCTCCTCGCACTTTTTTCGCTGCGCTTCTTCTTTCTCTTTCTTTTC